AAGTAAAGATAGCAATGGGCCACACCTAGCTGTTAGACAATGTAAAACAAAAAAAATTGGTCACAGCTGTTCTTTAAATTATTTTAAAAAAAATCTTAAATTGATATATTTAGATTTTTTTAATCATTTTAATATATTAATATAAAAAATAATATTTTAATATATTTTCAATTCAAAATTTTTTTTATAAAACATCCTCTACTACGTTATCAAACACATAAAGCCATGTTCAATCCCATTTTTCCTGGTCATTTTGTTGACAATTAACAATTAAATATCAAATATATTAAATTAGACTGGCTAACTAGGGTGAAGCTGAAAATTCAATATTCAATATTGACCTAACTAAGATTTTATGTTGAACTGAAAAGAAAATTGATATAATTCATATGTTATTGGAAAATTATGTTTTGATAAGAAGAAAATAAATTAGAGCTTCCCTCTTTTATGGGTCTCGCGGCACAAAAAATCTGGATCAATCCTGGATGAATGTTTATCAAAATTTTAAATCACATTATGATATCAAATCAAACGTCAAACTCAATAGGACTAAATCTAAATCGAAAGATATTAGACAGTAACTTAACATGATTACAGGTGTTGAATCACAGTTCAACCCATTTCATACAGGAAATCATCGCATGCTGCTCTCTCACAACCTTTAGACACACACAAACTTCATATAATATGATCCATTTGACATGATACAAACTTGAGATTGGTTTATTGAGATTCACAGTATTTGACATACCAATCTGTACGATTGCCTTGTTGCATCAATCACAGGTTATGCTTGCAACTTGAAAGGCTCCAGTACAACTTCAACGTTGCCTTTCTCGTTCATGTAGTTCGAAAAAAACTCTGTGAACTCAAAGGCTCTATATAGTGGGCGACTGTCCTCTTTAATAAGTTCCCTGGCAGGTTCGACAATGCTGTCACCACTAGGACTGACAAAGAAGGCTGCACTTGTCCTAGCATCCTTCGAATTTGTCACTGCTCGATGTTCGGCACCTTTTAGCTTGTTGTTACTGATAATCTATGACAGGAATTAACCAGCATTCTTCAGCTTAATTATACCCCAAACATTTCAAGAACTTTACAGTAGCGAGGACAAGGATATAAGAAGTATACCTGTAACTGGTACCCAATGTTAATCACAAATGCGTTGGGAACAGGCCCAACACCAATCCATTCACCATCCTTGAAGACTTGAAGCCCACACACATCACCTTGGAGTAAAATGGTTATGAGATTAGGATCACAATGTTTCGGTAATCCCAGTGTTAAACTTGGATCTGGGCATGGAGGGTAACGATTGACTGACAAAAATGCATTTTCACTTAGTTTACCACCAAAATACCCAGACTCTAATCCTAACCTTCACTGATCAGCTCCAATATCCCTGAGGCTAATTTCATCACTTCAGTCGAGTAATTCCCAACAACCTGTCTGTGAAATTATAGAGACATAAGCATTAGGAAAGGTTAAACTTCAACTTATTTCTGCTTCGGTAATTGTTTTAGGAAGACTGAAATCTGACAGGTGATACACCATAGCAGTAAGCGGGCATAACGTTTTACCGATATCTGGTTGGCTTCTCGGGCCATTGCTGAATGCATGCATCTAGATCAGGATGACAAGGGTGTCTCAGAAAGTCACGCCAGTTGTGAACATCTTCATTTGCATAAGAGTTACTACTTGTGAAAAGTCTGCAGCTTCTATCTGGGTCTTCAGAATAGATGCCCGCCAGATCCTCTGCAGGCATCTCAAAGACTTCATTGAAGACAGTCATTGTATCATTCATCAATGCCTTAGAAACTCCATGGTTGATCACCTGTTTTACAGTGAGAATATAACATTCATTATTCATGGCTTGATTAACGTCTTAAAGCTATGATATTTTATAACAATTGAGTAGGATTATTGCTTAATAAAGAGCGGACCTGGAAAAAACCGAACTCCTGGCTTGCCTTCAAAATTTCCTGGGTAATATTGGCTCGGTTTTGACTTGCTATATCACCGAGATCTATTACTGGAATGGACTCGCATAGGGCAATAGCTAACTTCCCAGGTCGGATTTCTTCTGGGAAAATATACTTCTCAGACAAGGATTGAAGGTTACAGCGGCTTGAGACGAGGATATCCATAACTCGGAATGTGAAAATTCCCGCTTTAAGACAAAACTATTTGTTGTATTAGATTTCAAACCCCCGAAGCAAATGTGACTTGTAAAATGGCTAGCTAGGTGAATAGAGCTTGAATGTAGCATGAAATGGACTTCTGGTTGGAATCTTGCAAGAAACTTGAAGAAAAACAACCGGAATGTCACCAAGGTTCTGTCTCAGTCCAGGAACAGGCTAATCATGACAGGTCAAACAAAAATTCCAAAATGTGTGTGTTTTTAATGATATCTTGGAAATTAAGAATGCTGTGTGTTAGTTTGGTTTCATATTCCCAATAACCTTCATTATATGTTTATATATGCCTTTTCAAATCTGTATATCTTTAATTGGCGTTTTCGTCATTGCGATAGTTGATGACAAAAATGTATTGCAGAAGAAAAGAGGGCTGCCAGTTGACTCTTGTTGGGGGTCCCGGATCCATGTGAATGGGACCACCACACCACTTATAAAGGAAACAAAAGAGTTCGTTCTGATATAAGATGGCTGACTGTCTCTTAATTAGTGTCGGCAGCAGCAAAAACAAAAGAGAATTCCAGAGTGAAAAAATCAGCTTCAGTATAGTCTCTGTTTTATCTCTTGTTTCTACCTTATTTATGGTTGCATCGAGCTAAAACATTCAAAACAGGTTCAAGTTATATAGCTCTTTATTTTATATCGTTAAATTAAAAATTAAAAATGTCTAAGTTAATCATTTTATCCTAAAACAGGATTATAAATTTGTGAGAATTTCTAGATGTTTTTCATATTTAAAGAATAGATTATTCTTAATAATTTATATATTATATCTCTTCGTTTGAATTAGGATAGAACATTTCATAATCCTATTATTTGTTATTTTAAAAGTTTTTAGATTAATGTTTTAGGTAAAATATTATATGTTTTTTCTTGTATTGAGTTTTTATATAAAAAATTTGATGTTAATTTGTGGTGTTTAGTTGCTTAACTTTAAAATATTAAAAGGAATGATCATAAGATACGGGCAAACAATATAATGGAGAATTTTAAAAACAACTGATTTGGTTTTTTTCAATTTTCTAAAGAAATGAAGAGTTAGAAGCACAAATTCTCAACAATTTAAAGAAACAATTTCTATTCTCAATTAATAAAACTATTGTTCTTAGTTTTCTATTTCCCACAATCTTTTTTTCTGAAAAGTGGAAAACACAACCGAAGTGTCATGTCTATAGCATTGTCAAGAACAAGAGCAATTGTGTAATAAACTATAATAAAAGGAACAGGGAACATGTAGCTTGCTTCAGGAGTACTTGTCAAATTGGAGTAGAGCGTGTGGAATCAATTACAAAGCTTGCCGATGGAATCTGGCATTACAAATGGCAGTATAATTAAGAAACCCTAGTTGGCATGAAAGAAATATAATCAAATCCTCGATCATGGCTGATATTATTGAACCCTCACTCATCCATGAAAGATCGATATTGTTTTGACTTTCGGCTAAACTCCCCTGAAATGAAGGCCCAGATGGCCTAGCACTGGAGTTCAGTAATTGTCTTTTACTGCCACATCTTTTTATCCCTGGTCTCGAACCAGCTTTGAGCCATATTTTAATTTGTTCGACTAGAATTTTGAAGCTTGAAAGATGGTGGGGATGCTTGCTAGATTGAAATAATTTCTTGCTTGTATTTTGTAAATGATGGGGAAGGGAGGAGAATGGATGGGAAGGCAAGGGATTTACTTGTTGATATAGTTTGAGCCTTACCTTTGATTTTTCTTCAAACTGATGGCTCGCAGCACTTTTTTTCTTTTCTTTTCTTCAAAGATCGGTGATGGATACGTAAATATATAATTTAGTGTAATGATTATATATCCAATAGCTATTTTTAATAAAATAATTGATTTTATTTTCTCTGTAATGGGGAGGATGAGTGTTTCATTGTGTAGCTCCAAGTTCATCCAAGATTTCTAGTAATAATAAGAACCATAACAAAGATAAAAATAGTAAAAAATTTGGAGTAAGATTGTTTTTATGTTCCAAAATTATTTTTAAAAAAATTGAATTTTTTTATTTTTTTTGAATAAATTTTTTAACATTTTCAAATTATTTTAATATGATCATTTAAAAAATAAATTTTAAAAAATAAAAAATATTATTTTAATATATTTTTTAAGTAAAAATACTTTTAAAAATAATTAGTATTAAAATATCAAACAGATTCTTAATATAATTGCAAGGATTTTAAACCCATATTATTTACTCGAAATTAAAAATACTTTTAAAAATAATTAGTATTACAATATTAAACGGATTCTTAATATGATTGCAAGGATTTTAAACCTATAATATTTAATAGAGGTGACAAGAAGTTAATAACTTGGATAGCACTAATTTGGATAGGTTTGAAGGTACTAAAGTTTTACCAACAATAAATCATATTGGGATTAAGAACTGTTTGTCTACACAATTAAAAAATAATTTTTGAAGTATTTTTTATTTTATGATAATTTTTACATATCCAACCATAATTTAAATCACAGTTGGCTAAAATTAAATAGAGGTGCGGCCAAAACTTGCACATTATTTTGTTGAATTAATTTGCAAAATTTTGTTCTGCTCCAGTGGTGCTGAGGTATTAAACGATAATCGTGAGCTGGTAGAAGCCCAGTGAACATGGACACGGCCCATACAAAGAAGAGATGAAGATAGAGGGGGCTGACCTAGTTGTTGGGCAGGAAAAAAAGAAACTTGCCCCCCCCCCAAAAAAAAAAAAAAAACAAAACTTCTACTGGTCAAATTGTTGACAATTGATGATCAAAATATCAAAAATATTAAGGGTAAATTTTTTTCTGAAAAATTATCATCACTTCAGTCGAGTAATTCCCAACAACCTGTCTGTGAAATTATAGAGACATAAGCATTAGGAAAGGTTAAACTTCAACTTATTTCTGCTTCGGTAATTGTTTTAGGAAGACTGAAATCTGACAGGTGATACACCATAGCAGTAAGCGGGCATAACGTTTTACCGATATCTGGTTGGCTTCTCGGGCCATTGCTGAATGCATGCATCTAGATCAGGATGACAAGGGTGTCTCAGAAAGTCACGCCAGTTGTGAACATCTTCATTTGCATAAGAGTTACTACTTGTGAAAAGTCTGCAGCTTCTATCTGGGTCTTCAGAATAGATGCCCGCCAGATCCTCTGCAGGCATCTCAAAGACTTCATTGAAGACAGTCATTGTATCATTCATCAATGCCTTAGAAACTCCATGGTTGATCACCTGTTTTACAGTGAGAATATAACATTCATTATTCATGGCTTGATTAACGTCTTAAAGCTATGATATTTTATAACAATTGAGTAGGATTATTGCTTAATAAAGAGCGGACCTGGAAAAAACCGAACTCCTGGCTTGCCTTGAAAATTTCCTGAGCAATATTGGCTCGGTTTTGACTTGCTATATCACCGAGATCTATTACTGGAATGGACTCGCATAGGGCAATAGCTAACTTCCCAGGTCGGATTTCTTCTGGGAAAATATACTTCTCAGACAAGGATTGAAGGTTACAGCGGCTTGAGACGAGGATATCCATAACTCGGAATGTGAAAATTCCCGCTTTAAGACAAAACTATTTGTTGTATTAGATTTCAAACCCCCGAAGCAAATGTGACTTGTAAAATGGCTAGCTAGGTGAATAGAGCTTGAATGTAGCATGAAATGGACTTCTGGTTGGAATCTTGCAAGAAACTTGAAGAAAAACAACCGGAATGTCACCAAGGTTCTGTCTCAGTCCAGGAACAGGCTAATCATGACAGGTCAAACAAAAATTCCAAAATGTGTGTGTTTTTAATGATATCTTGGAAATTAAGAATGCTGTGTGTTAGTTTGGTTTCATATTCCCAATAACCTTCATTATATGTTTATATATGCCTTTTCAAATCTGTATATCTTTAATTGGCGTTTTCGTCATTGCGATAGTTGATGACAAAAATGTATTGCAGAAGAAAAGAGGGCTGCCAGTTGACTCTTGTTGGGGGTCCCGGATCCATGTGAATGGGACCACCACACCACTTATAAAGGAAACAAAAGAGTTCGTTCTGATATAAGATGGCTGACTGTCTCTTAATTAGTGTCGGCAGCAGCAAAAACAAAAGAGAATTCCAGAGTGAAAAAATCAGCTTCAGTATAGTCTCTGTTTTATCTCTTGTTTCTACCTTATTTATGGTTGCATCGAGCTAAAACATTGAAAACAGGTTCAAGTTATATAGCTCTTTATTTTATATAGTTAAATTAAAAATTAAAAATGTCTAAGTTAATCATTTCATCCTAAAACAGGATGATAAATTTGTGAGAATTTCTAGATGTTTTTCATATTTAAAGAATAGATTATTCTTAATAATTTATATATTATATCTCTTCGTTTGAATTAGGATAGAACATTTCATAATCCTATTATTTGTTATTTTAAAAGTTTTTAGATTAATGTTTTAGGTAAAATATTATATGTTTTTTCTTGTATTGAGTTTTTATATAAAAAATTTGATGTTAATTTGTGGTGTTTAGTTGCTTAACTTTAAAATATTAAAAGGAATGATCATAAGATACGAGCAAACAATATAATGGAGAATTTTAAAAACAACTGATTTGGTTTTTTTCGATTTTCTAAAGAAATGAACAGTTAGAAGCACAAATTCTCAACAATTTAAAGAAACAATTTCTATTCTCAATTAATAAAACTATTGTTCGTAGTTTTCTATTTCCCACAATCTTTTTTTCTGAAAAGTGGAAAACACAACCTAAGTGTCATGTCTATAGCATTGTCAAGAACAAGAGCAATTGTGTAATAAACTATAATAAAAGGAACAGGGAACATGTAGCTTGCTTCAGGAGTACTTGTCAAATTGGAGTAGAGCGTGTGGAATCAATTACAAAGCTTGCCGATGGAATCTGGCATTACAAATGGCAGTATAATTAAGAAACCCTAGTTGGCATGAAAGAAATATAATCAAATCCTCGATCATGGCTGATATTATTGAACCCTCACTCATCCATGAAAGATCGATATTGTTTTGACTTTCGGCTAAACTCCCCTGAAATGAAGGCCCAGATGGCCTAGCACTGGAGTTCAGTAATTGTCTTTTACTGCCACATCTTTTTATCCCTGGTCTCGAACCAGCTTTGAGCCATATTTTAATTTGTTCGACTAGAATTTTGAAGCTTGAAAGATGGTGGGGATGCTTGCTAGATTGAAATAATTTCTTGCTTGTATTTTGTAAATGATGGGGAAGGGAGGAGAATGGATGGGAAGGCAAGGGATTTACTTGTTGATATAGTTTGAGCCTTACCTTTGATTTTTCTTCAAACTGATGGCTCGCAGCACTTTTTTTCTTTTCTTTTCTTCAAAGATCGGTGATGGATACGTAAATATATAATTTAGTGTAATGATTATATATCCAATAGCTATTTTTAATAAAATAATTGATTTTATTTTCTCTGTAATGGGGAGGATGAGTGTTTCATTGTGTAGCTCCAAGTTCATCCAAGATTTCTAGTAATAATAAGAACCATAACAAAGATAAAAATAGTAAAAAATTTGGAGTAAGATTGTTTTTATGTTCCAAAATTATTTTTAAAAAAATTGAATTTTTTTATTTTTTTTGAATAAATTTTTTAACATTTTCAAATTATTTTAATATGATCATTTAAAAAATAAATTTTAAAAAATAAAAAATATTATTTTAATATATTTTTTAAGTAAAAATACTTTTAAAAATAATTAGTATTAAAATATCAAACAGATTCTTAATATAATTGCAAGGATTTTAAACCCATATTATTTACTCGAAATAAGTTAATAACTTGGATAGCACTAATTTGGATAGATTTGAAGGTACTAAAGTTTTACCAACAATAAATCATATTGGGATTAAGAACTGTTTGTTTATACAATTAAAAAATATTTTTGATGTATTTTTTATTTTATGATAATTTTTACATATCCAACCATAATTTAAATCACAGTTGGCTAAAATTAAATAGAGGTGCGGCCAAAACTTGCACATGATTTTGTTGAATTAATTTGCAAAATTTTGTTCTGCTCCAGTGGTGCTGATGTATTAAACGATAATCGTGAGCTGGTCCAAGCCCAGTGAACATGGACACGGCCCATACAAAGAAGAGATGAAGATAGAAATGGGCCTGACCTAGTTGCTGGGTAGGAAAAAAAGAAACTTGCCCCCCCCCCCCCCCCCCCCAAAAAAAAAAAAAGAAAAAAAAAACCCTTGACTGCCAAATTGTTGACAATTGATGATTAAAATATCAAAAATATTAAGGGTAATTTTTTTTTCTGAAAAAATATTTTTTATATTTATTTTTATTAAAAAAATTAGTTAATGGAAAACACTTTAAAAAAAAATAAACTTAGTTTTTAAAAAAGTATTTCCCTTTTATTTTGGAAGAAAATCACTTTTCAAAGTTGTAAAAAATTTAAAAATATCATATTATTTGCTGATTATATCAAATTTGATTCTCAAACTTTCGATTGATATATATATTTTATTTTGAATATTTGTTTTTTAATTTCATCCCTAGAATTTAATTTTTATATAACTTTGATTCTCTTTTTCATAATTGTTATTTTATTTTTTCTTATCATTTTTTAATTGAAATTTCTTATCTATCAAATTTAGTCATCATTCTTTTGATTGTTACTTATTTTATTTGAAATAATTTATGAAATGTTAATTATTATTATTTTAATTTCTTCATCTTTTAATTTTTTTATTGTTTAGATTTGATCTCTATTATTTTGATTATTATTTATTTTATTTGAGATAATTTATGATATTATATATTTTTTTAATTTTATTCTCTTTCAACTTTTTAATTTGTAAGATTTATTTCTCATTATTTTAATAAACTTGAAAAAAATTAAATATTAATAAGCAATGTTTCGACTTATTTTTCATGACATAACCAAAAATTAGAAAATATTTTCCAATTTATTTTTCATTACACTACCAAACATCAAAAAAATGCTTTATTTTCTTGAAATTTACTTTACAAAAAAATTATTTTCTAGCAAATAAACAGGTCTAACTTAGAATTAGCCAGTTGGGAGTTGGGCATAAAACTGGAATTTAACCATTCAAATATCAATTTTAACTACATATCAAATCAAATTAAAAATAATATCAATTAAATTTATTTGGATTTTTAATAATATTAACTCGGTCTAACCTAGTTTAAATTAAACCAGATGAACTTCAAGTTTTTGTTTGTTTTGACTAATATGAATGATTTGGATTAACCTGGTGATGTACAAATTGACCCCGTCCGAAGGCGAGCCAACAACTATACAAGAGGTATAATTCAAGGGAACAATAAAGCTCATTTTGATTGATCATTTCTCTGTATCCTAACAGATAGCAGGGATGGAGGCATTGTTAGCATGGTTTTAAATCACGATTCAGGGATCATGTTACGACAACTCAAGTCCCGAGCCAAACTGAAGCTCAGCAAATGCTTCTTAACACTGCGACTGTTACAAGTGATGCAGCCGCTGGGAGTCCAATGCTCCAAACTAAATTTCCTGCACGCTATGCCCGCCGTCATTGCCTATTGCATACCATATGAATGATCTAAAAGAATAGCTCAGTTGTTTAAATTTGGGAATTTTGATTTAGAAATTATATGTTCCAACTCCTTTATCTTGAAGATCTTGTAGGCCTTTTACCGAGTGAAAAGGGGAGCAAAAGACATCTATAAACTCTGGTTTTTCGCTAAAAAAGTCTTGCTTTGCTGTTAAGGTATGTCCTAAAACTTTAGAAAGTTGAGGAAAAGGGAACAAAAGAAATGCTGTTTCCCAAGAAAAATGAGAAATAAAACAGCAGGGGTCCAATATCATGAAGCAAGTATATAGCATGTTGGGTCCAATTCATTTCTTTAATATAAACTGCTGGTGGGAAGCATGATGGCAGCTTTACCACTCTCTCTTAACTTTAAACATGGACATGCTTGTGTTCATCTCAAGTTTATCCTTTTCATTCAATGAGATATCATTGTGGTTTACCTGGTGAATCTGTGGCGCACGTTTTAACCTTTGTGTAGGAGTGTTTTCCATTAAGCTTTCTCCCATCTCTCTCCCCTATTTTCTCTTTATTCTAATTGAAGAATTTCTTTTTATGGAAGAAGCTAAACCCATCAGTCAACCTCCCCTTTTGTCTCTCTACTTGTAGAATCCAGCACTTTGAATTGAAACCCATTTTCCTATGGCACCAGGACATAGACAATACTACATTCATGCCTTCAGAAACCAGCAGAATCTTATCTATCAACAACCTTCCCCTACTTCAGACCATGCTTTCCCTCTATTAGCTATTGCTGTGTTGAGCATCATGGGCACAGCTTTCTTGCTAGTTGGTTACTACGTCTTTGTGAACAAATGTTGCTCCAACCGGAACCAATTTAGTCTTCTAAGGTGGTTCACTGTTTGGAGAGCTAGACGTAACGAGGATTCGTTTATAGCCCTCTCTCCAACCATGTGGAATCGTGGGCTGGACGAGTCAGTAATTCGCGAGATACCAACATTTCAGTACAGGAGAGAAGAAGGTCGGGAGAGGAGCAGCTGTGGCTGTGTTGTCTGTTTGAATGAGTTCCAAGAACAAGACATGCTTCGAGTTCTTCCAAACTGTAGCCATGCATTTCACCTGGATTGCATTGACATATGGTTTCAAAGCAATGCTAATTGTCCACTTTGCAGAACAAGCATTTCAGGCTCTGGTACTAAGTATCCAGTTGACCGCATAATTGCTCCTAGCTCATCACCTCAAGGCTCGCAGCCATACACCGATAGTCTTATGGGAAGTGATGAAGATTATGTGGTGATCGAACTGGGTGGAGAAGATGATGGAGCTTTGTTACCTCCTAGGCAACATGAAAGAAACACTTCAAGAGAAGCTCAGATGAGAATCAGAAGTCGATCGCCAATGAAGATGGAGCAGAAGCTTGGAAAGTTGAAAACAAGGAAGCAACACCATGTCTCAATTATGGGTGATGAATGCATTGATGTAAGGGGGAAAGATGATCAGTTTTCCATCCAACCGTTGAGGAGATCTTTCTCACTGGATTCTGCAGTGGATCGACAGCTTTACTCAAGTGTTCAAGCAATCATTCATCAAAATATCCATCATAGGGAAATTAGCAATACCGAGGAAAGTAGTAACAGAGTACTTAGGTCAGTTTTTCCATTTGTTCATGTCCGAGGATCCAGAAAAGCAGTACGTCCGGTTGAATTTGAGATATAATGCAAGAAGACTTAATCTGAAATCTTGTCTTTATGTCCTGTTTGATATTTCATTTTTTTCGAAGGGTTTGCTGGTGTTTTTCATATGATGGAATAGTTACAAATGAGGAACTGATAAAAATCTAGGGTGGTTTCGGATTCATATCTTGAATAGAATGAACGGTATACACGGACTCCTACTGAGATGCAAGCATGCTTATGAGAATCATTGCTTAAACCACTTAGGGTGGACGCCTCTTTTTTTCTGTTTTGAGTTCCTTTTTATTTTATGAATAGAAATGATTGTTTTAACACCTCTTTATCCAGAGACTGTGTGAGACAAAGACGGGGGGAGGGGGGAGGGGGCAGAGTGGACGGGGTAAGCTATTATGTAAGTCATGGCAAGGGGACCGGAATAATGAGCAACTATGAGTGCAAACCTCAAAAGGGACCTCCTCTGCGAATGATCACCAACCTCTTTTGTCTTGTAGTAATTATACTGGTGTTGGTAATGCGCAGAGGAGATTATTCTGCCCAGGTTCCATAATGGTTTTAAGATACGGATTTGAGTGAAGGTCTGCCATCTGTTTCCAGATGTCAAAAAGCAGCTGGAGAGTTTCACTAAGAGTATCCCAGATATCAGTTGAAATAAAATTCTCATTATTTTTTATTATTTGTAAGGAATAATTTATTTGGAGCTAATACATATTTTGAAAGATCTGAATAATTTCTCCTCTTTTTTTTTTAATTACAAAAATTAAGAAGAGTGACTAACAGCTAACTCATGATAAGTTACATGAGTGCAAACTACATGCTTAGAAACAATGCCAATGTGAGTCCTAGGGATGGTCGAACGGTTAAATTTAGGATTTCCACTTCAAAGTACGATGTTTAAATCGTGGGAAGGATGGATGAAATTTAGGAGTGATGTAAGGCTACCCCCACCTGTGCAGCTCAAGGTTCATTGGGCCTCATCTTTAACCCCCTCACCACCCACACGAAAAAAAAAATTATGAAGAGGATAGAAGAAGGAAAAACAAAGAAGTAAGCAAAATATCACATACGAAGATTTTCCAAGAGGAAAATTTTAGCCTGTCGTAGCTAAACATAATGCCCTCAGTCTCAGTTGCAAACCCTGCCCTGCAAGTATCATTCCATGTGTTCCTGCCTCAGCAAATCTGCATAAACATAACAATGTAGCGCAGACACTATAACAAAACAATATCACAAATTCAGTGAATCATAGCCAGATGAAACTCCAGTGGGACACCTATGACGAGTCTACAGTTATAGTTTCTCATCCTCAAAATGGTTTTTAGGGTCCTGTTGATTACGAAGAAACAGGTTGAATTTCAAAGTCACCAAAACTGAATGTTTAGAAGCACGTGTAATATAATCATAATATGTGAAGTAAAAGTTGAGAGGAATGGTGACATTGCATGGAAAGCATGATTGAGCCTTCTTTATCAAGTTTTCCATGAACATGGATTTATTCACAGACAACTCTAAAGTCGGAATACAGATTAAGATGAATGTACAAGTTCCTTTGAAAAGAAAATTAGTAGTTAAAAGACACAGAATACAGTAATTTTAGTCTTTATCAGGCATACACAATCAAAGAAAAGGCACACATCCCCAAAACCATTTTTCACATCGAAACTGTGTTTGAGTTGCTTAAAGAACTTCAACTCTATAAGTACATATGAAAAGAAAAGGCACCACAGATAGCAATAAATTACCATATCTACTTACAGAGAAAAGCTAAGTGGAAAAAAAAACACCCTGATAGAAAGAGAGAAGCTAACCAAACAAAGAAACGTAACTCAGAGCTGGATGTTTATCGGACGACATCATGCTTTTTCGATACTGGTTGAGAGGAATGCCAAGCTGTAAGTTTCTTCCAGAGGGGCTACTGGGAGGCATCTATTGGTCGTGAGCTCATGTTGCCTTGGTCTATGACTTTCCCAGGCATCTATTGCTCGACACTGGAATTAAATGGCAAGGCTATAGCTGCAAAATCCAAGAAAGATTTTTTAGAAACTACAAAATTCTAATTTGAGATCGTAACATAAAACCATTCAACTTAGACACCAAATTCCATGTCATTAGCTAGCTTCCTTGATGAATGAATGTGGGCATATAGACAAGGCATGCTTAATAGCATCAGAATTATTAACTTCAATTACCATGATAAGCAGCAACACAATCCACTGTTCCAGAGCCTTCATAAAAATGTGAAATTATACCACTATAAACCTTATCTTCAAATGGCATGGGCATATCCAAACATGATGCTAAAATATCTTTTTTTATCTATCTATATATAAAAATAATTTATTTGCTCGCTCATGTAAAGGTTGAGTTAATGAAGTATGTTATAATTTGGCTTATTGAAGCCCTTTGAGAAGTGCCAAAGGTGGAGAGCCAAAGGTCCAGATGATGAAGAAATATTGAGTAAGTGCATGCATTCTTGCATATTCACATGCTCGACCCAACATATATGATTTTCCATTGATAAAGGCTTCATGAAGAGGAAGACAGCATCAAAGGACTCATTTTAATCAGAATAACAGATTTGGAATAGCAACACAATAATGATTTTTTTTAATGAATCAAAGCAATGCGGCTGCAATAAAACCAGAAACCACGAACCAGGAACTAAGGGAATGTTCGTATCAATTACCATGATAAGCAACAGCACAAACTACTGTTCCAGAGCATTTATAAAAAGAAAAGTATAATTATACTAGCATAACCCACAAATGGCATGAAGATATTCAAACATGACACATGATGCTAAAGCCTTTTTTTATCTACTTATAAATTAAAAGAGTTATTTATTTTCTCGCTTATGTAAAAGTTGAGTTAAGAATATGTTCTAATTTGGTTTGTTGAAACCCTTTAAGGTACCAAGCGTGATGGCCGAGAGCCAAAGGTCCAGATGAAGAAGAAATATTGAGTTTGTGTTTGCATTCTTGCATATTCACCTGCTCGACCTGACTGACATATATGATTTTCCGTTGATAAAATGAAGAGGAAGACGGCATCAAAGCACTCATTTTAATCAGCATAACAGATTTGGAATAGCAAATAATGATTGCTTAATGAATCAATAGCCATGTGCCTGAAATAAAACCAGAAACCACGAACCAGGAACTGAGGATATGCCCTTACCTTCCCCTGGCACCAAATGCTTTTGAGAGATTCTGACATGCGTCAATTGAATCTGTATGATAGCAACTGCAAAAATCCGTGCAGCTCACTGTAGTCTGTCCAATTCCAAATATCCAGCCCCAAAATTGTTCTAGAAATATCCAATTCCGAAATGTTTGGGACCAAAGCTTTCTTTCAGCACTTCAGCTTTCTTTCAGCACTTCAGCAGCACTCTCCAAGTGAGGAATATCCCAAGTCACCTTACATGTCAACAAAAGTAACCACCCGATTATAGCAGAAGAACTTTCTTCTGCGTGCTGTTCTTGTAAGAGCTTCTCGAGCATAGACAGGGTTCTCCTTAGCAATGAAATTGCCGTTTCAAACCTGTCCCTAGTCTCATATTGCATCGCTATCTCTGAGTATGCCCCCGCCACTTCAGCTGCAGCAGCCGTTTCTTTCTTGTCAAGACTTCCACAAGCAATCTCCAGACACCTCTTCGCATCTGCAAACTTCTCTAGATTACATGGTGCCTTTGCCATAGAGATAAACACTAATGCTTGAGTCCAGCTATCTTTCTCTGTCTGCTGGACAACACCCTTCAAGGTATTAATAGCCTCGTCATACTTGCCCAAACATATTAGCAGCATTAATCTCTCCATGAAGCAATTCAGAACTAAGACCCCAATTCATCAAAACCTTCCGTGAAAGTGCATTCTGCTCCCCAATGCCTTGACATGTTTCTCCAACCCACTATAGATGACCCCAAGAAGCTTCCTATCATGTGCAAACTCCTTGGAATTATTCCCAAGTTCACTCCTATGTATCTCCAACACCTTCAAACCAAACGGCAATGCCTCCTTGAAATTCAGAACTGCAACATAAGCCGCTGCCAGTTCCCCATATCCACACCCAATTCTTTACTTCCTTTCTCCATAGCATTTCCTTTATCTCTAAACACTTCTTAAAATTATATATAGCCTCCTCTCTCCTCCCCATCGCAGTCTTCACATTAGCTAACTCAAGCAGCACAGCGTGCAACACCGGCCAAATATCCTCAACATTAACAGTCCCCTCTCCTCTAGCCTCCCCAGCATCATATTAGCTCTATTGAAACACCCTAAACTATCATTAAACCTTTTTAAACTACAAATAACAGAACCTTAGGCTTATCTTATCATCGCCACTATCGAGAACTTTCAAAGCTCTGTAGCAAAAGATAAAGCCTTTTCAGGGTTCTCGCCTTGTTGGTCAAGTTAAAGTCCAGCTTTCAGTAAAGCCAAACCAAGTTCTCTCTCATCAAAACAAGCCTCCATGTTTTCAAAAGCTTTGAGCATGTCCTCAATTGTCACTACAGACTCAAAAGCCTCTTCAAGTTGAGATCTTTCCATGATTTTCTTCTGCCTAGAGGAGATTTGAGGTGTTCCAACAAGGGTGCCAATGTTTCGAGATGGGTTTGCTTGGAATTGGCGGGGCTTGACTGTAAGGCCATTGGATTTGGTGCAGGATTTTGAGATAATGGGTAGGTGAATGAAGTGAGGAGGCAGAGGAAGGTGTATTTGTGCGGTCAGATGATATGTAGTTTCTGGACAGAAGAGGGGTTACTGTTTTGGTTTTTTGGCGAGTAAAATGAGAGAGAAGTGAGATCAAAGCTCTTTTCATGGTGGGATTTCTGTTAAAGTTTGCTCCTTTTTGGTTTTGGTCTAGTCTGTTGAATTGCTTAAACCCTTGCAAAACCCAAAACCCTAGGGAGATTTCTGGTTTCTCCAGTCTCATCTGTTGACAATAGTTCAAGCCTAAAAAAGGGGGTAGAAAGGAGCTATTGATTAAAAACGCTGTGGTTTGGCTGAGTTGAATCGAACAGCCTCCACAGAATTCTTAAGACTCATAAATGTGTGAGGTTTTATTTTCATTAGGGAAAAGAGAAAAATATCTTTGGACAGACCCTGTTGGGTTGAGTTGAATAAACTTCTTTCAATTTTGAAGTACAGCTTAGACCAGACTACCTGGGACAACTCGAGAACAAAATTCACTCAATCAACGGCAAACAAATGATCAAATGAACTAGTTGATTAGAATAGGATTTGTAAATGATCAATAGATGGGAAATGTTTTTACAGTTCCATAACAGCTGCAGTGACTTTGGAGCCTGCTACCTTCTAAAATGGGATAGGGCCTACCTGAGAATCTAACCTCGTACTGAATCTTATATACAACAAAGAATACATTAGTTTCCTTTTTACACAGAAAAGAAATCACAGTCCATCTTCGGAAACCCATATGCATTCCACAAATCTAAAAACAAGAACCTCTCAAACAAATGGAGAGGTAATTGATTGTCAGAAGGTTGGGGGATCTCGAAATGCAGGGGGCGTTTCAGGCGGTCTGCTATAAATGTCGTCAAAATGAAGACTCACACTCCTTCCTGCGTCAATGTCATCATCCAAATAAGTAGTCCGGGACAATCCGTTAGAGTTTCTCCAATCCAAGTGTTGCTCTTGCTCCTCCAAGCTTCTTTCTGAGAAATTATCATGATAATTTTCTGAAGCATAGCGGTTGAAATCAGGAGGCTCGAGGAAACTTGTTTGGGGCTGTGCATCACGCGGGCCGCTTCTAGCCCACCAATGGCTCCTAGTAGGATGTGCGAGGTTGCTGGAGTCATGATGTTGAAGCACACTTTCCTGAAAGAATGGGGCAGACGTAGAAGCCCCCAAATGAGAGACTGATCTATCCTGGTAATTGTGACCCCATAACTCTTCATCATATTGTGCTTCATTATGTGTCAAGTTGGATGGCATCCAATAATCTCTTGAATGTTGTTGCTCAGCTGCTTCAAATGGTACTGCTGTGGCATCTCTTGTATTGTCCATGGAAGTGTGAGGTCGAGAAGTATAATAACAATCAAGAAGGTATGGGTGATTCCTCTGATCTATATCAAGTAGCCACAAAGAACCCAGCTGAAAGCCGGGAGTATTAAATGGCATTTCCCTTGAAAAGGGGATATTTCTATCACCGGGGCCTCTATAACTGGGGCTCCCTCGCCACATTCTACGAGGAGAGTACACATGTCTAACTCCCTGTCCTTGCAACTTTTGGTCCCTAAAAGTTTTAAGATTTAACAGGAACTGCTTTCCGTGAATGTTGGGTTCCCATGAAGGATAGCTACTCTGAAAACTGCAAAACAGACAATGAAAGATGAGAAGGAACCAAAGGGAACAATTATAACAAAACGAAATTACGAGCAGGCACCTTGCCATGGTTTATTTCATTTTTCCAAGATAGAACATAACAGCGGCAAGTATACAAAACAATTATTTATATGTCCAAAATGACTTGTTCTCCTTAAGGAACATATAGAAGACTTCCTTGTGCTTGTAAAGCAAGCACAAGAACAGTAACACAAGGCTTCAAAAGCTTAAATTGAAATGGAAAGAATCTAAAGTACAATTCTACAATAATACCTCAAAAACGATTTCTCCATCTTCCCCTGGCAACTTCTCTGGGAACGAAGCGTGTTATAGGGAGAGCCATAATTGCTATTTCCATGCTTTTGAAAATTGAAAGTACTAAAACTGTGAAAGATCAATTAGAAGTCAAGGTTTGAATGATTTCAATGCAAAGAAACAAAGCTAATAGATGCTTTGGTGTCAAATTGCTCAACATAAACTCGGAATTTTCAAACATAAGAACAAGTGCACACCTGCAAACATGGCCAACACCTTCAACATCCACTGTGAAATCAGCAATGAATTGTAAGATGTCATCCACATGCTGCAAAAAATCACAGCACACCACCTCTAAATTAGCCAATATATGTCATAAAAATAACCAGATACACAGTCTATCAAGAGATGAAATGGATACCTTTGGGACAACAAACAAAAGCAGGAAAGGAGTGAGGAAAATTGATGCCATCTCCTCAAGTAACATCATTCCAGTATACTGCATCACAAAAAAACATAGAACAGTTAAAATAAGTGATCAACAGGTGGTAACTCATACCACGGGAGGAAATTTTACGCAGAGTTCTATTACTATTAATGTATGGCTCTGCTATTTCTTATGGGCACAAGCATCCAAAGTATTTCAATCTTATGGTTCTTCATTATCTGCATATGGCCTTTTTTTCCGAGGCACTCACTATGAATGGGCTTTTAGTTTAATGTTTTTATTCAGAGATTGTGGTTATTGGCAAGAACTTATTGAATCAATTATACGGGCTCATAATAAATTAAAAGTTGCTCCTGCTACTCAGCCTAGACCTTGAGCTTTATACAAGGATGTGTTGTAGGAGTATCTCATTATCTTCTTGGTGGAATTGCCACAACATGGGCGATCTTCTTAGCAAAAATTATTGCAGTAAGACAATGGCAATGAGGATTTGAAAGGCATTATGACATTAAGATTTCTAAGGCTTAGCTCAAGACCCCACTACTGATCATATTTGGTATGGTATTGCTACCGCACATGACTTCAAGAGTCATGATGATATTATGGAGGAACGTCCTTATCAGAATGTTTTTGCTTCTCATTTCAGGCAATTAGCAATAATGTTTCTGTGGACTTCCAGAATCAGTTTCATGTAGCTTGGCAAGGAAATTTTGAAACATGGGTGCAGGACCTTTTGCATGTAAGACCTATTGCTCATGCAATTTAGTATCCTCATTTTAGTCAACCGGCCTTGGAAGCTTTTACTCAAGGGGGTGCTCTTGGCCCAATGAATATAACTTATTCTGGTGTTTCTCAGTGGTGGTATACGTGATCAAGGGTGGTATAAGTATATTTGGTCAACAATCTTTCATACAAATGCATGAACTTCATCTGCATTACCTGAAATAAGGTTTCAAACTCCATGCGGACCCTCTCAGTATTTTCTTTGCCTCGCCATTTCTTTGGCATGTAGTGTGTGTGCTGGACAACCATAGACATAGCCCCTTCTTGATCAAGGACCAGGACCTCATCTGTAACAGCAGCCCGGCTGATAGCTGTTATAGTTCCAAAAACAGCAGCATACCAAAACAAGTTGCGCCCCAATATCTGCAGTATAATTAAAATTCATTATTATGAAAAATACATTTTATTATCCATTATCACTGCCAGTTTTGTATTATCTAATATCTTTTTAAGTATTAGTGAGAGTATATTACATGGCCCTCTAGCAAAGATTCCTCCAGAAATGCAATGATGATCAGGATAGCAGCAAAGCCTCCAGAGACAAAAGAAATGAATTTTGCGATGATTGAAATAATAGGTGAGGGGAATTGCTTTAGATATTCTGAAGCATGCATCACACTGCTATTGATCCGATGCTTGAACAAATGGTCAACCTGCAACATAAATATACACCATCTTAATTATAGAAGATGAGTTTGAGGCAGATCTATGTGTGAGAAATAATATAAAGAATTATTAGTACCCTCATTCTTTTATTGAAATAAAGCTACAGTAAGGAAATGAACTCTCATCTTACACGAGAAAATGGCATATAGAAGAAGACTTTCTTGTGATGAAGCAAATCTCTCAATCTAACATGCCAAAAACACATCAATAGATTTATACAGGCATCGCCCTCATCCGTACAATAATTAACAATATCTTGCTTCTGTTCAATAAAATCCCATCAAATAAATCAAGTTCTATTTCATACACATGGGAAAATGTGTTGTCAGAAAAACACATCCTCTCCAGACTATAAGCAAATATTAAAAAACCACCAAAATAAGTTCAACATATCAAGAGGCTTTTCTAGTTTATTATAATGATAAGAGGCAAGCATTAAGAATTACAAGAACACATTCAGACTTTCTTACTAAAACACATTCAAACATTGTACTCAAACAGATATCTTTGCCAACATTTCAAAGGCAGGCATATCAACTATGAAAAGTTTTGCTTGAACTTAATGTGAGGGAGAGAGATGGTGAGTTTGTACCTCATTGAATTCTCTAAAAGTCCACCTTGACAAATTTGACCATCTTCGAGATGATGCTGTGCTTGGATGATTATAAAATTGTTCAGCATGCCTTAGGAAGAGATACACCAGCATGAATATAACAAGAAATGGTGAAAGGACAACCATTGCAAGACCAACTACCATAAGCCTTTTCTTTAATGCATTAGGATTATAAATGAAGTCCCTCCTAACACAAAAGTTTCTGCAGAAAAAGTGCATTTTAATGAGAAAATGCAATATAATCAACATTCAAACAGGTAATCGCGTGAAATTAAACATACCGATCAAACATGCTCTGTAATATGCACCAATTTAACGTCCACTCGAGGGGTTTTGTCAGTATTAGGCGATGCTGCATTCCATTTGAACCATTCCTGACAGTTGGGCCAGCACCTGGAATCCATGAGGAGATTGGAAAAGCAAGCACTCCTTTGTTGAGCATTCCAATCAAGTAGTTCTCCTTCCGCATCAATCGCATCACCACGTCATGAGCAGTAAGGTCCTTAACCACACATAGTTGTTGTGAGTGTTGCAACTCAACAACCTTTTCAAGAATTGTAGCCCATGGCATGGTTTGAATTTCATTGTCTGTGACATGGAGACTGCAAAAAGATAACATCTTTTGCTCTTACTGAAATACTAAAAAAAATTGAAAAACAAGAAAACCTTTGTACTGAAGTAAAAGCAATGCCACCAACAAAATTTTATACAGATAAGATCAGCCACACCTGTTATAATAGAAGTGCCGGATACCAAGAATGTCCTTCAATTGAGCAAAAAACCTTAAGAAACAGAAGATCCAACATATAGAAAATAACCCCAAATAACCAACAATGATAGCTTTTGAAAGCGTTAGAGGGGTTACTGGGTGAGGATGGAGAGCTTCTTTAGCAAGGTCACAGGGCTTGATTCCAGATTCTACAGCATCCATCCCACACTTAGCATTACGAAGACCATTCCAATCAACATATAATAAGAAAAATCCTGAGAAACCAATGGTGAAACCCAGGCTGAAAAGCTCAACTATCCACTTTATAATAATACACCAAAGCCCTTTCTCACAATAGTAATTGTAGAGTCTTTCAAAGAAAAGGTCCAAATCAGCAATTGGTTCCACATTCAAGCTCTCGCCATTAAGGAGCCCAGAAGGGCTCTCACTACCAGGACTTGGTACCCTTCTATAATCTGACAATTCAATCTCTGGCGGAACATCATCGAGCAAGCTGGTTGTCAAAGATGATTCACCACGCCATTTCCACTTGAATATGCTCAGAGCATTAAACTTTTGCCCACTGAACATCATTCACAAACACTTACTACAGGCAAAAGGATCCAGTCCATTCCCCAAACCACATAAATGGTTAAGGCAAAGCTCTGAAAAAAAAAAGGGATCAGACTAGTCATGCCTTCTATAGCAAACTATGTTTAGCTTGCAAAATCCCCTGTTTCCTCAATAATCAGCTAACATTCAAAAATTGAGAAACTCAAGAAGTTACATGACAAACTATGCCACTTCTACAGCATTTACAGAACCACATTATCTTCCACTTCTCATTCATCACATGCCACTCAGAAAATGAAAATAAAATCTTGAGGAAGGAAAGGGGGTGATGGAAGAAATTTTCAGACTTGTTAACCACCAATATTACCAGTGCTCCATATTAATCAGTAAGAAGATGAACACAACAAAGAATGCGTCGAGACATAATCAAATTATAGCATCATTCTGGAGGTACTCTTCCATTTTGAGCATCCTAAATCTATTAGGAACCATTGAAACAAACATTTTTAATTAATGGGTAAAAGAAAATTTAAAAAATAATAGAACCACATGTAATTCTTAACATTGTGACCAAATATCTGCCTGTTCATCTACCGAAGTCCTAAAATGCAATCAATTTTTACCCAATCCCGCAATATAAACAAGAACTTTGCTACTCCATGTATGATCTCTCTCTGTACAGGCATTGTTTTGCTTTTACAACTACTTAATTCAAGGGCACTATTCTTGCTGTCCCTGCAGCTCCCTTTAATAAATTAATTATAACCTAATCTAAGATCAAATATTTGCAAGAGAGTAAGAATAGTGAATCACTTACCACTTGAAATCAAGCCAAACAATGTAACAGTTAAGGCTATGAGTTGGGTTTTGACGGAGCCTCTGATTCAATCTGTAAACAACAAGTCACGAACTTTTAAACTGAAAACACCACAGAGAGCAAAACCCAGAAAGGAAAAACCAAAATTACTTGGTTAAGTCACTGAAAAGGGAGGTGGGCAAGCTTTATTCGATCATATAATCACTTTATTGAGTCCAAAACATAGTTTGCTAAATCGGGACAGCTTAATCCCAATTGCCCATATTGATTAACAAATTAAACAAAGCATTCAAATCAATAAAAAGAAAAGAAATCATGTTGTGCGATGTTATCAACACGTAAAAGTAAGAAAATAATTAATCAGAGATACGACAAGATACGAAATTACCTCGAAACCCGGGAAAGAATAACGATATAACCGAAGGGAAGAAAAATTCAAGAAAAAAGAGTGAGGATTCAGTGGCGCCGACTAAAAGAAACAGCACTGAGATCAGAAACAAGTAGCGGGCTGAGATTATCGTTGGAGAAATTGAGGGCAATGAAATCTTTTGTTTTGCCAAGAAGAGAAGATTTCGGAGAAGAAAGAAACGGCAGAAAGAGAGGTAGCTTGGGAGGGGGTTTTGTTTGGGTTGCGTGGAGGAAAGAGGGATTTTTTTTTCCCTCTCCTCTTCTTTCTTGAGGGAATTCAATTGGGGTTTTGTCTTCTTCTAATTTAAATTATTATTATTATTGCTAAGAAGGAGAAGAAGAAGATGAAGAATTTAAAAAGCTTTTTGGGCTTCTTCTCTCTCTTTCTTTGCCTGTTGTTAAAGGAAGCAGTCACAGTCAAGATAAAAATACCTCCTTCGTGAGTTGAACTGAAGAGGTTCGAGGGGACGAGGAGTTTCCAAGCCAGCAATAACTTGCACTTCCCCTTTACTTGTGGACTAGGGATATTTTAGGCACCACAGAGATGATCTTTATAAAAAATAAAATATTTAAGGGATATTTGAGAACCATACTTGTCTGGGTCAAGAACCGACTCCGAAAAGAAACATGGGTGTTGAGTTATTAGGTTGATTTACAGGGGTAATTAGGTCAACACAATAACTTTTAACCAGGTAATGTTTGTCCAGGTCACTAGACATTTTTTTATTAACATAATATTTGGATGAGCGACTTTAACTAATTTTATAAATATTAAAATTAATAAATATATAAATTTTTAATAACCATTATATTAATAATTATAAAAAAATAAATTTTTAGTCCCAACTTCTTATTAAAAAGCCACCTACTAGATGTCCAGATTATTATAATATAATTTTAATTGAATTAGTGTATTTTTATGAAAATATATTTTTTATTCCATTTAAAACTCAACTCTAAAAAGTTTTGAATTGCAAATTTCTATATTTAAAATTGAAACCGGGTGATAATATTTTTTAAAATAAAAATAAATAAATTTAATTCTATGTTAGATGTTAGGTTTAAAAAAATAAGAAGGGAAATGCATGTATTTAATCCTCACTTCAATAATTTAAAACTGAATTCAAACATATTGCATTAAAAAAAAGCTATAGCATTGTAAATGAGATTAGAAAGCTAATCTGTATATATTAGCATGTAAATGTAAATAATTATTTAAAAAAACGTGTCATAAAAATATTGATTTTATTTTTTCTAGTAAAAATAATTTTCAAATCGATATACTAAGAATGTGTCATCACCGGATGTCGGCACGTTTAACACTTCGCCACATGTTCAGTGAAGTCACGCATTTAAAGTTTGAATTCAATACGTTAACAATAATAATTATAACAGGCGTGTTAATCCCATATGTTCATTTATTTGTTTGGAATTATATTGTAGTGTATTTTTTAAAATATTTTTATTTAAAATATATTAAAAATATATATATTTATATTTTTTGCATTAATATGTAAAAATTATTAAAAAAACTAAAAAAATAATTTAATATGTTTTTCCAAAACAACCATTTTTTTGAAAGATATTTAAAAGCGGAAACTAACCTGAATAGGTTATTGATACTCTATTAGCAATCCTGCAATTAATTTTTAGATTTGGCATAGATAATCTCTTTCTAATTAAAATAAACAAATGGATTTATAATCAACGCAGACAAGAAAAGCATAATAAAAGATGAGATTTGCGAATTGAAATATTACTCGTCTCTTTTATTATCTGACTGGCAAGGTATATAATTTATATTGTTAATTATAGATATTATAATTATGATGCCTTCAAAATACAAGGACTATTAATCATGGAAATCTGTTTTATTGATATGTTTTTTAGGTAATTATTTCTTTTTTTTTCTTTTTTCTTTTTTGATTTACGTTCGGGCCAGTTTACGCGCACCACGACTAATCCCCACGGCCCACTGAACATCCTGCAAGCCCAGTGAGCAAGTAAGGCACCGCGGGGGTGACAGACGTGCATGGTGAGGTTCGAACTCAGGTGCGGAGAAAGGGGACAAGCCCCTTCCACCGCTAGGCCAGAATCTTAATTACTCTAGTTGTTGCTAATGTATTAAAGAATATATATCTAGAGCAAACTTAAGATTTAAAAGTATAAAAAAAAAACTATAAAAATATATAATAAAAGTGAAAAACAATCAAGAAAAATATTGAACAAAATATACATCATGTGGGATTTTCACCTAGCATTGCACACAGCTTACCTTGAATTGCTACAATAAATTTATTATTTTAACCTTTAGAAAAAAAAGAAAAAAAACAATGGTCTTGGCTGTGAAGATAATTTTATCCATTCCAGTAACTCATTAATAATCAAAATATTTGAGGTGTTTAAGTATTTTTTTAATTTTTTGTATAGTAAAATTATGGCTTTACATTTAAAGTCAACAAATTTAAGAGCTATTGACCAAAGGTTTTTTTTTTTTTTGATATTCTCATGTACTTAAAAACAATAAAAATACTTATTTGCTCTTGGGATTAAAAAAAAGTTGTAGACAAAAGGTTTTTTGGACTTTTCCTTCTCGTAATACAATTAAAATATGCCTTAGCTCTTGAAGAAGATAAAAAAATAAAGTGTGTATTTAAGGATTTTTTTTATCATTTTAAATGGATTTATCTTTAATTCTTAACATCATTATTTTGATATTTTTATATTGAATTTTTTATTTTTTATTTTTTATTTTTTATTTTGAAAGGTTGTTGACATGTATTTAATAGATACCAATGCATAAATAATATCCAACTCTTTAGATGACACGTGCATTACCAACTTGTGATCAAATTTAAGCTTTTGTTGTCATGTTTTTTTTTATCTTTTTAATTTTAATTATTATATTTTTTATTATTTATTTTCATCATTGACTCTGTTAAAAAAATATGTTTTTAATTTAGTTATAAAATTATAATTTGTCATGTATTTTTTTTCAATGTAATCACTGTTTTTTTATCTGTGATTTTTTTTATTGGCCTTTGCATTAAAGTTTGATTAATCTTCAATTTTATTATTTAATTAAAGTTTATTTTATTTTATTTTTCTCAACTTAGATCTCATTCTTTTTATTTTTTCTCTTTTATTAATATTTTTTTTTAACATGACCATCCAATTTAATTTTTTATGCCCTTTATTTAGTTTTTGTTTTTAATTTTGTGTAAATTTTTTTTTATGTTTCATCGTTTGACCTTTTATTTATTTTGGATCGAGCTTCATGTTTTTTTATTTTATCGTGCTTTTGATCTAATGACACGGGTCATAACTACTAAGAGTTTAATACAATTAAGGATTATTTCTTTCCTTATTTTATTTTATGATTTTATTATTTTATATTATTTTTTAAGAAAAAATTAGCTTTGTAGTTGTTTTCAATTTTTTTAAGATTTATCTTGATTTCATGGGCTAAACCATGAGTTTTGCAGGCTTTTTTGAGATATATTATTTTTTAAAAAAATATTTTTGTTCTTTATTTATTTATTTTGTTTTATTTTATACATATAAGATTTATTTTATAAAAAAATAGTTATTTTGAAATAATTTTTATATCATACGTGGCCTTATATAATATTTTTTTATTTTAATTTTATTTACACAATTTCATATGTTTTTATATTTTTATTATATCTTGTTGATTTCAATAAATAAACTCAATTGACATAAATATGTAAATATCTTATTTTACGAGTTTAAATATATTGATTGATCTATGTTTATTTCTTAATTTTTTTAGTTTTTCTCTTAGTTAATGCTAAGGAATTTTTTGTTTATATAAATTATTTTTTATTTATTTAATTAAATATATGTATAATATTTTAATTTTTTTTATATAAAATATCATATTAATAATGTCGCGCGTGTGTAGCGTCGCAGAGAAAACATCTACTCTCATGCATTTGTGTATCCTTCTATCAAATATGGAAAGATAAGGAATCCTTATCTTTTGAAAAAATAAAAAATAAAAGTCGTCACTTAATATTTTGGTCACTAAAAATCATAACTGGTCTTAGAGATCAGATACAAGGATCGTTTGTGTAAAGGAATATTTTTATAATTTCTTGTTGATTTCAATAAATAAACTCAACTGACATAAATATGTAAATGTCTTATTTTATGAGTTTAAATATATTGATTGATCTACATTTATTTCTTAATTTTTTTAGTTTTTCTCTCAGTTAATGCCAAGGATTTTTTTTATTTATATAAATGATTATCTATTTATTTAATTAAATTTATGAATAAAATTTTAATTTTTTTATATTAGATATTATATTAATAATGTTGCACGTGTGCGGCGTTGCAGAGAAAACGTCCACTCTCATGTATTTCTGTACCTTTCTAACAAATATGGGAAGATAGGAAATCCTTATCTTTTATCAGCGAAAAAAGAAAATGAAAGTCGCCACGTAGTATTTTGATCACTAAAAATCATAATTGGTCTTAAAGATCAGATACAAGGATCATTTATGTAAAAGGAAAATATCAAAATCCCAAATATGTCATAGCTAATATAAACTGCATTGTTTGATTATGTAATATATGCTAAAGTGTTATTATATTTCTTTGAGAAAATTTTTTCCTAGTAATAAGGTCCTTATCTTTTCGAGTAAAAATCTAACTATTTTAATGTTCATAAAAGAACTAATTTTTTTAATATCAAAAATACGCTTTATGTATAAATTCATAATTTCAAATATTAAAACAAAACAAAATATATTTTTTTTGAAACAGTGACCTAGTTCTTATGACTTTAATAAACTAGTTTATTAAAACTAAAATACATGATAAATTTTTTTTTTAAAAAAATCATTGTATGAAAAAACAATATGATTTTTTTTTGTTTTCTATCTCTGAGAAACTTGGTTGTGTGCAAGAAAGCAAGACATATTTTTTTTTTACAATTTTGCAATGGTTTGACGAAAACAAAGTGTTTTATTATCAAATTTATATTTTTTATGGTATAAAAATACAAACTAATATTAAAAAAATTGATAAAATATATGCGAGACAAAATCATAAACTTTAAAAGGATTTTTAGTTTTTTTTTTCTAACTTCGCCGGTCCAGTCCAACCATGAACAGTGGCTCTCTATTGTTCATTAGCAGAACAATGAAGCTTGATGGCGAGGGAAAAAGTGAAGCAAAATGAGAGGAGGAGATGAGTAGGCTAACTTGGTGGTGGCGTTGGTGGTGCTAGTAGTTCGCAGTGGCAAAAAGAAAAACGACGGTGGAATAATGGCTATTCTTCGCTTGTTTCCTTATCCTTTTCTTTTTTTTTTGTTTATTTTTTTGACATCCCTTGTTTGGATCTTCTCTGTCCTTTGTCTTTCTCTATTGTCTCCTGTTTCTGCATCCTCTTGTCCCCTGTTTCTCTACTTTCCCTGTTTCTCTCCTCTTTATCTTTACTTTTCTATTTTTCTTGGTTTGTTTTTTTCCTTTTCTTTCTCTATTCTCTTGGTTTTAGTCTCTCTTTG